AATTCTGTTAGAACCAAGTGTTTCCATTTCTAGAAGCCTATTTTTAGTCTTCATATTAAGTTTATAGGGGGCTTTAGTGGGGTTTTAATTTGCACTAAATTTTCTGGAAGATTATGTTCAAATTATAATGTAGTGCACTTGTCTTACAATTAAACTCTTAAAGCACTCATGCATTTTTTGCACTGTCTTTTTCTTTTCTTTTTTTAAATTTAAGCTTTCCCCTCTTGGGTGAATACCTTGGAATAACAGGTCCTATTTTCTTAGTTGAAAAGGTAAGACAACTGTCATGTTTAAAATGTAACAATGTTAAATGTTGGGATTCTTTTGAAAGAGTAGGCATAAGGGTCAAGTAGTGTTTTAAGTTGAGTCACTGAATTTAATGGAACAAAAAGGTAATTTTGAGTTTTCTCAGAATGTTCATGAGGAAGAATAGAGTAGGAAGATTTTGTATGGAGATGTTCAGTCTCTCTGGCCTCTACTGGGTTTGCTGTCAAATGTGAGGCCACTGAAAGTGCTGGTAGGTGTCTACTATGTTTGCAGACGTGTATATTTTTCAGAGGATGGCAAATTGAATTAGATGTGTAAAGTAGCACTAATGTTAGCCAAGGTATTCATACTCAGTGTAAATACAGAGGAAGCCTAACATAACATTGTTTTCATTATTCCATTTCCTATGTGTCCCTTGAGAACTTTTTTTTGAGGAATATGGGTCAAGTCTTATTTCTGGCCCGCCAAAATGAGAGGTTGCCATTATGGCAGGTCATGGTGTGGTGCCGAGCAGGTCTGCTCCGCCACAAATGACCTGTCTATAACCAGCTTGTGATTTGCCTTTTTGTTCTAAAAATCAGGCAAAATTAAATAATGGGCTTTCTTTTAATCTCTGCTGTGATTCTGTAATGAGATAATATGAAATTTTAAAACAGGTTAAAATAATCCTTTTTCAGATTTATTAAAATGTGTGAGACATTCTATCTCGCAGACTTAAAACAATTTCTAGTTTAATACATTCAGTGGAATCGATGATTTCAAATGAATGTTTCTGAGGTCCAGCTCTGTCATTTGCCCTGTGATGTTGGGCAGATAAAATTTAACTTCTCCAAGCATCAGTTTTTCAACTGAAAGTTATGGCTTCCTCAGGTATGGGTGTTATGATAGGCATGTGAAAGTGCTTTGGGATTAGTGGTTCTCAACTTTATTGTGAGATTAAGCACACACTTTGAGGCCATATCCCAGGCTTAAGTTGATTCTTCATGCGGTAGAACCCAGGCATCTATGTTACTTAGGTAAATCTGATGATTTAGGGTTGAAAACCAAAGCTTCATATTTAATGCTATGATGGTTGAAGAGTTAAGGAAATCATGCATATGAAAAGTTACCAAGTATTAACACCTATATGTGCTGGGCAATTATGAAGAGTATAATATGGCCAGGCTTGGGATAGACACAGCTGTCAACCATGATGGGATGAGTGCCCTTTTTAAAGTTTGCCTGAGCATCTGCTAGGACTCCCCACATTTGCTTCTATAACTCTTCTGGGCTTCCTGAGATGAGCAGAAAGTAGGCTAAAACAGTCTGGATTACAGAATAGCGTAATACCCTTTATAGAGGTAAGAAATATGGTCACGTAAGCGTTTTTGTGGGGAAAGGAGGAAGAATAGTTGAGTTTTGGGATTTAAAATTTGAGGTGTTTGCATGATATCCAAGTGGGTGTATCCAGTAGAGAGTTGGAAAACGGTTTGGAATTCAGAAGAGGTTATTTGCTGGAGAAAGCAATGTCAAGGGAGTAAATAAAAGCACCCTAGAGAGTGTGGGAAACGAAGAGAACCACAGGCTGAGCTCTGCTGCAGGCCATTTGATGGATGAGTGCATGATTGGTGTAGTCTGCCCGCACCCCCACAGCAAGCGGTGTCTTCATTTGTTGATCCTGTTTCCTTTTACTAGCCCAGTGGAATCAGGCAAGTGACACAGCTTGTCCTTCAGTTTTCTTAACTGTAAAATGGAAATAATAGTCCCTACCTCAAGGTTGTGAGAAGAAGAATCTCTATAAAGGGGCGCCGGGGTGGCTCAGTCATTAAGCGTCTGCCTTCAGCTCAGGTCATGATCGAGCCCCGCATCGGGCTCCCTGCTCCGTGGGAAGCCTCCTTCTCCCTCTCTCCCTTCCCCTGCTTGTGTTCCCTCTCGCGCTGTGTCTCTCTCTGCCAAATAAATAAAATCTTTAAAAAAAAAAAATCTCTATAAAGTACTTAAACAGCTATTGGCATATATTAAGTGCTCAATCATATAACTGTTAAGTGGTGACTGCCTTTACCTATTGAGATAAGTTCAATTTCTAATAAGATTCAATTACTATCCCGCTTACGACCCATGAAGTCTTCCTCAGTGACTGGAGCTGGTGTTGATCATTATCTTGAATTTATTCTCTGCCATGCAGTGTACCACTTAAGTAGACGTTGTTTTAATGTGTTTGATTTTTATTGGTCTTGCCTCCTCAACTAATGTAAGCTTCCTTTGGGATTAGGTCCATTTCTTATGCTTCTATATATAGCCACTAATTTCTCAAACATCAGTTGTCTCTATCAATATGGTGACTTATAAGAAATCCTAATGTTTTAGAATTGTTTTGGTGCAGAGTAGGAGCTGAACAATATTTGAATGCAGAAATAAATGAAAAGTCTAAGATTGCCTTAATATTTGTCTCTACTCAGGTATTTTCTGACAAATGTAGCACAAATAGCAGGTAAACGCTCCTTATTAAACAAGTGCTTTTCTTCTTCCTAACTCTTAAGCTGTAAGACTGCCTAGGAAAGCAGGCATTATGTGGAACTTACTGCCTGGAACCAGGGTGATAGCCTGTGCTTTATTTAAGTGTGCTACAAGTGGAGAGGAGTTTGTCACATGTTCTTCACTTTTTAGGCTCCTGGGTGTTGGCATCCTAATAGGTAAAATAGGGGAGGGGGTAGATTAGGCGATCCTTAAGTTCATGTCTTCTAGCAATAAATATGCTAGTACTCACTCGCAATCAGGAAACATATTTTTAAAGATTTTATTTATTGAGAGAGCATGTCTCAGTGGGGGGAGGAGCAGAGGTAGAGGCTCCCTGACTCGTGGCTCCTTCCTGGGACCCTTAGATCATGACCTGAGCTGAAGGCAGACACTTAACCGACTGAGCCACCCAGGCACCCCACAAATATATTGTTTTATACATAATTATAAATCACAGGAATGTTAGGAGACACATTTATATAGTCCTCAAAAATAACAGCAGCAAAATACATGACAATTCCTCTTCTCACGTTCCTGTCTCTCCCCACCCTCCCCAGAACAATCTACCAACCTACAAAAAGCAAAAATACTCATGTCTTGTGTCTTATCTGGCCCACAATTAAGGCGTCGATAATATACTTTGAATTAAAGATATGGGTTTCATATATACCACAGCTGGTACTTGAATAAAATTTTCAGCTTTCTAGCTGTGTGACCCTGAACATGTCATTTAGCTTGGCTATTTTCTCATCTGCAAAATAAAGATACTATGAACAAACATTTACACAGCACTTACGTGCCAGCCACTGTTCTATGTGCTTTACATTATACTTAACAGTTTTTACCTCTTTGTCATTGTAAAATTAATGACACTTCTTGCTCAAAGCACTTAGTACATTCTATTAGAGAGTATATACTCCATATATCACCCGTTTTTTTCCTTGGATATGAATTAAACTCCAAAGTTTCTAACATTTAAAATCTTTTAGAAAGTACTTTGTGTGAATGGAAAGGTGATACTGTGCTGGAGGAACAACCTTGGTGCCTAATTAAAATGCTGATACTTGAGGGGCGCCTGGGTGGCTCAGTCAGTTAAACGTCTGCCTTTGGCACAGGTCATGATCCTGGGGCCCTGGGATGGAGCCCTGTGTCAGGCTCCTTGCTTGGCTGGGGGTCTGCTTCTCCCTCTCCATCTACCTGCCACTTCCCTTGCTTGTGCTGTCTCTGTCAAATAAATTTAAAAAAACCTTAAAAAAAAATGCGGATACTTGATCATTATCAGAATTAAAATGAATTATCTAGCAGACAGGAACCCCTTTTCTTTTATTCTAACCTATGGATCACTAAATGATTTTTATTTTTCATTTTAATTTTTTTTAAATATTTGGGAGAGAGAATGAGAGAGAGAGCACATGAGAGGAGGCGGGAGGGTCAGAGGGAGAAGCAGACTCCCCTGCTGAGCAGGGAGCCCAATGTGAGACTGGCATAACCTGAGCCGAAGGCAGTCGCTTAACTAAGCCACCCAGGTGCCCCTTTAATTTTATTTCTTAAAAGATTTTATTTATCTGAGAGAAGAGAGAGCATTGGGGGGGGGGGAGTGGCATAGAGGGAGAGGGAGAAGCAGAGCCTGATGTGGGGTTTGATCCCAGGACCCCAAGATCATGACCTGAGCTGAATGCAGTTGCTTAACCAACTAAGCCACCCAGGCACCCCATTAAATGATTTTTTTCTTTTTACAATTTTATTTGACAGCGAGGACAAGTAGGGGGAGCATCAGACAGAGGGAGAGGGAGAAGCAGGCTCCCTACCGAGCAGGGAGCTGGATGCGGGGACTCCATCCCAGGACCCTAGGATCATGACCTGAGCCGAAGGAACTCATGAAGCCTCGTTAACAACTGCAAAGTGAAGTTGGATGCTTTAGTTATTAGAAATCTTAGTGATTTGAGGTTACTGGATGAAGTGTATCATGTGAAAAAAAAAAGACTGTTAGGGTGGTAAAATAGGACCAGTGATTAGGGAAATAATACAGCTTCCTAATTTAAAAATTTTTACACAACGAAGTGTCTAGTATAAAACAATGGCTTGAGTTGTCATTTCAAATGAAAGAATATGTAGAAGAGGTGAATGTCTATTTCTGGACTGTGTTCTCATGTTAAGACTCGTATTTCTAAGGGAATTATAAGTTCACAGTCATTTTTCTTCTAAGGAGCAAGATAATAGAGATTTAATCAGTGTCACAAATGCAATCATTTTTTCCTTTTAAGTAATAGTTAACACTTAAATAGCACTTACTGTGTGGTAGATATAGTTCTATGCAGTATTATTATTGGCTCCATTTTACAGATGAGACAGGGGCACAGGTTAAATAACTTGTCCAAAGTCACCTAGCTGGTATGTGGCCGAGTGGAGTTACACTTCAGTGGTCTGATTCCACGGTTTGTGCTCTTAATCTTAACAAAGGGCAGAGAGGCTGGGGAAGTAGCTGGAGCAGTGGGAAAAAACAAATGGGATTACAGAAATGGAAGAGGTACAAGGACAAGAGTCAAGGCACACTGAAGGGACAAGGAAGAATGTCCAGCCCCTCTTCCTCCAGTCTTCTTAACCACCAGAGAATGCTTTCATAATTGTTGGTTGTGGAATTCTGTGTTTGCACATAACCATTTATTGGTAACTGCTGGGCATGTGGAGAAAAAGTTAGGTTGCTATTACATTTGTACTTAAAAGAATGATGATAATTGAAAGGAGAATTACCACAGTGAGGATTATGATCTTTCTGAAGTGTTTCCACCATATTATCCTCCTAAGAATCTTTCTTGTTTTTTGGGATTCTTTGGCCTGAAATAAAAATAAACACAAATATAATGTTTTCTTTCTGTATCTGAATTAATGGGCACACCCCAGTACTTCTCAGAGCTGTCTAAAAGAAGAGATTTAGCTTGGTTTTGACCAATCCCAGAGTCTCAATAAGTCTGAACAGCTTTTATAATATGCACCAAGATTCCAGATGCCTTCCTTACTGTGTTCAGTTGTACTTTTATTAGTTTTATTAACTCCATAACCTTGACCAAGTTACTAACTCTTTGAGCTTCAGTTTCCTCATCTTCACTTGATTTTACTTAAATCCTTTACAACCCTATTTAAAATTGCTACCCCCCATGGGGACCCTGGGTGGCTCAGTTGGTTAAGCAGCCGACTCTTGATTTCAGCTTAGGTCATGATCTCAGGGTCATGAAATGAAGCCCCATGTCGGGCTCTGCTCAGCACAGAGTCTGCTTGAGATTCTCCTGCTCCCTCTCCCTCTGGCCCCCCCTCACTCTCTCTCAAAAAATTAATTTAAAAAATTGCTACCCCATCTCCATCCCAGAAAAATAATACTCCCCTTCAATACATTATTTTTCTCCGAAGTACTTATCTCTTACCTAGCATTATGTAATTTTTTTTTTTTTTAACAGAGAGAGAGAGAGAATCTTAAGCAGGCTCTCCTTTCAGTGTGGAGCCTGACATGGGGCTTGATCCCATGACCCTAAGATCATGACCTGAACTGAAATCAAGAGTTGGATGCTTACCGACTGAATCACCCAGGTGCTCCACGTGATGTAAATTTTACTTTTTGTTTGTCGAGAATGTAGCTCCATGAAGGCAGGGGTTTTGGTATGTTTCACTCACTGCTATATTATCAACAGTGCTTAACATAGAACATTCTTCTGTTTCTCTTTAGCACCTGTATGTTGCTACTGAGAAATGTGGTGCTATTCTAATTGCCGAGCCTTTGTTTTTTCTCTCTGAAAACATTTAAAATCTCTCTTCCTTTTTGATGTTCTTTAATTTCAGCATTACATGCCCTGCTGTGGTCCTTGTTTTGTTCATTCAATCTGGAAACTCATGTTACTTAGTTCTTGTATGACTCTGATTTTCTTTCCTTTGATTCCTTCATGTTCTTTTTCTGAAACTCCTGTTATTCATATGTTGGATCTCTTAGACTGAGTCACTGTCTTCCTTATCTTTCCTCTCTCTCTTTTTGCTCTCCTTTCTGAGAGAATATCTCAACTTTATATTAGAATAAATCCATTGAATTTTAAATTTTTACTATGGTTTTAATTTCCAAAAGATCTCTTTTCTATGAATAAGCTTTCCTATAGCTTTTTATTCTTGTTTCAGGGATGTATTACTGTTATTTCTCTGTAGACAAAGGATGGAGTGGTCACCATAGTCAAAATATAGATATTCAGGATAAGATTTTTCACCTAATCCATCTGATTTTAATATGCTGGTCACTCTGGCCTCAACTGCACCTGGTGTCTGAGTTTAGAGCCTCTCTGATCTATTGTCTTTATTTTTTTAATTAATTAATTTTATTATTTTTTAAAGATTTTATTTATTTGACAGAGAGAGACACAGCGAGAGAGGGAACACAAGCAGGGGGAGTGGGAGAGGGAGACCCAGGCTTCCCGCAGAGCAGGGAGCCCAATGCGGGGCTTGATCCCAGGACCCTGGGATCATGACCCGAGCTGAAGGCAGACGCCTAACAACTGAGCCACCCAAGCGCCGCTGATCTATTGTCTTTAGATAATAACATTTATTATCCTTTGTCAGGGATAAGGAGAGGAAGCAATATGGCTGTAAAAAGTAGGGAAAGGGCTCTACAGGTAACATGTTCCTTTTAAAGACTTTATACCCAGTCTCTTCCTAGACTTATACTGCATGTCTACTTTTACAAGTACCATGTATCTCCAATTTCTGATCCTTTCCAAGTCTATGGCCCAGATCGGCTTGCATCTTAATGTCTTCTGCTTACAAACTTATGTCTTGAGTTTTCTGCTCTACTGAGGTTATCAAGTATTCATACTCCATTTTCTAGCTTCCAAAATTGTTGACGTTTCTTACCTGTTGTCTTTTCTCTTTTTTTAACTTATTTATTGCATCTTAGAGAGTGTGAGTGGGGGGAGGGGCAGAGGGAGAGAGATAGGGAAAGAATCCCAAGCAAACCAGCACAGTGTGGAGTCTGTCGCTGGGCTCAATCCCACCACCCTGAGACTGTGACCTGAGCTGAAATCAAGAGAAGCTTAATTGACTGAGCCACCTAGGTGCCCCTCTCTTGTTTCTTATCCTAGTGTTTTATACATTAAAATTCCTAATTATTGCTTTACCTATCATTTTATTAGAGTTTTGAGAGTATACCAAGATAAATGTACCTGTTTAATCTGCCCAATTATAATCCATGACCCATATCTACCTGTAGGCTGACTGAGAGAAAGCTTATTGGCCTAGTTTTTATTAAAAAGCCAAATGTGCTTCCTAAGAACATTCAGTAGAGTCTTTTACATAAAGACCAAGGGAAAAGAGAGAACTAATTATGCTAGGCAAAAAATGGAGGTTTTAGTGAGACTGATTATGTGTTATCTGTATGAAAATATTGTGAGAAAAACAAATACTTCAGTCAAATATATTTTATTGAGCTGCTTCTATTCAACTGGCTTCAAAGATGAAGTCATTTTTTCTTCATGTAATCATATATGCATAAAAGTGAAATTTGTTTGAAAGGTAAGGCAGTAAAGAAATAAAATCTCTTAAAAAATTGTTTTTGCCGTATTTTCATGGTATTTAGATGATGCCACTTTCTGCATAAGAAAGATATATAATCTGGGTCACCTGGGTGGCTCAGATGGTTAAGCATCTGCCTTTGACTCAGGTCATGATCTCCAGGTCCTGGGCTCCCTGCTCATTGGGGAGTCTGCTTCTCCTTCTGCCTCTCCCCCTGCTTGTGTGCGCGCTCTCTCTCTCTCAAATGAATAAATAAAATCTTTTTTTAAAAAAGATATAATTTAATAAAAATTAGATCAAGCAATATGGTGGATTAGGGAACCCCGTAACCCTCCTGCCACTATTACTACACAGAATGCTAGATAAAATATAACAAGCAAACTTAAATTCATACCTAAGTTTGGAAGAAAGTAAGAGTAAGGCCTGGTGCAGGAATCTAGGAAAGCAGTGAAAAATTGCACTTATGGTGCAGCTCCTCTGTATTTGGGAGGGTGAGGATGTTGGCTTCTGTCGTCCAGGGTTTGGGGTTTCACTGCTCATAGGCATAGCAGGCTAAGCTCTGGGCTTACATGAGGAGAGCAATGGAACTGTACTGAATTTTCATCCTTCCTGTTAACTAAGCTCAAAACTTTGGAGTCTTCCTTAACTCTTTCTCACCACACATTCAATCTGTCGGCAATTCCAATGTGCTCCACCTTCAGAGTATATCGAGAATCCAACCACTTCTCACCACTTGTACTGCAGTAAATATTCATTTAATGTTACTTATACCTTTACCACTTTCTCTGCTCTTTAATTTTTTGCTGAAATTCAGACTTTTCTTCAGGTAATTTTCTAACTACCAAAAAACTTCCTTTAGAATTTCCTTTAGTGCAGATGGGACAAAGACAGCCAACTAGCCACTGAAGACTTGAGTTCCCCTTCCATAATGTAGAATTGTTGCTAGCAAGAGACTCTCCAATCTCAGGCCACATTTCTCAGGCTCCTCACCCCACCCTATGTTGTGTCCCTCTCTGCCTCTTGCACTTATGCAAAGCTATAAGACTTAATTCTTACCAATAGGTTGAGAGTAGAAGTGATGGGTATCACTTTGGGTCTCAAGTGGATATAAGCAAATGTGCTTTCTCCACTCCCTGTTTAACCATCTTCCACCTGAAATTGAAAGACTCTGAGGCCCAAGGCAATGGCAGAGTCACAAAATGGAAAAAGCTTGGGTTCCTGGATTACCATGTGAAAGTATGCCCACCAAAAAACTGTCTTGGACTGTTACATAACCAGGAAGTAAACCTCTATTTAGTTAAAACACTGAAAACTGAGGTATGTTGGTACAGCTAGTGTTTCTCTAATATTTCAGTTGGTAGTAGGATGAGATGTTGCTATTACAAGAATCTGAAACGTGGCATTGGTTTAACCATCAGGGTAGGTAAAACCTGTGAAGAAACTATTAGGGCAGTATGTTTCACAGAAAGATAAAGACCTATGTTCTTCAGAATAAAATATTTGATAGTTTTACTATCTCCTGTGACAACTTGGAAGGTAAACAAATTGCCTATTGACTCTCACTTTGGAAGAAAATGTTGGAAAACAGAATGATAGTGGTGTGAGTTCTAATTACTGGCTGCATTTATCATGGTACCAAATGGCTGATTTGCAAGAAGAGGAAAAGAGAGGGTGCCGAAATGTGGAACACTGAAACATTGGATAAGCTGATGTTTTTTTGGTCCAAACAGTAGGAAATAAGATTGAAAAGGTGTTTAATGTCAAATGCCCCTTAAGATTCTGCCCTTCCTCAATAGCACCCCCCAAACCTATTAAAACATGGGCAAAGGACTTGAATAGACTTTCTTCAAAGATCTATAAATGGCCAATAAGCATGTGAAAAGATGCTCAACATCGTTAGTCATTGAGGAAATGCAAATCAAAATTAGTTGCTAATAGAAAAAGAAAATGAGATGCTAGTTCATACCCAGTAGGATGGCTATAATTAAAAAAAAGGAAAAGAACAAGTGTTGGAGAGGATGTGGAGAAATCGGAACCCTCTTACACTACTGGTGGGTACTTGTGGGTACCCTCTTACATTATTAGGTTCAACCACTGTGGAAAATAGTTTGGAAGTTACCTCAAAAAGTTAAACACAGAATTACCATATGACCTAGCAATTCCATTCTTATGTATACATACAGAGGAATTGAAAAGAAGTTTTCAAACATAAGTTTGTACACGAATGTTCGGGGCAGCATTACTCACAATAGCCAAAAGGCAGAAATAACCCAAATGTCCACCAACTGATGGAT